GTATAGTCGCTTTACATCGCTTTTTCCCTTCAATGCAAAGCGGCATTATACACAAATGATTGTAAATCCACCACGTAAAATGTGTGATATTTATATCTCTAGATATTACTGACGAGAATGGTAATACGCGTACATTTCTGTGGACAGGACCACGTAGGGGTAAGCGCAGCCAGGACGCGGTAGCGATCCTACAGGTGACCTCGCTTTTGACGTTGGAGTATGTCACATTTTAAAAAAAACTCAAAATCTTCATTTTCAGAACCCAGCGGCCAAGAAAGAAAACAACATTTGAAACGTGAGGTAATACAACTGTATGACCAATTTACTCAGCATGTGATTGACTGTAGACGACATTTCTTCTTTCTGAGTAGTGTTAGCAAAATAAATGTTTGGCTGGACTTTTGCATGCGAACATATCCACTGATTCTACATCTTTGAAGTTAACAAGCTTTTCATTTGCAAATTCATATTATAGCTGATTCGCATAGCTGATTTCCAAAGCAAAACACATTTTGCTTTGGTAATAAAGCTATGCCTTGGCGATCGTCCACCGCCTCATCTTGGCGCGGGGGTGACTCTGGGTATAGAACTGCGAAGTACAGCAGAGGTTTATCCTCAAGCAGGATCTCCCAAGCTCAGAGGGAGTTTGACGTTTCCGGTTCCCCGGATGCCCGCTAAGAGTAGGCAATGCCAGAAGCACCACAATCTGGCTGAAGTCGCTAGGTGGTTCCCTGCTCCACATAAGGTCAGCGATTGCTTATGGTGAAAGCTTGGCAGGCCCTGGCAAGGCCCTGCTAATTTGGGAAAAAAAATTTTTATTCAGTACAGCATGTAAGAGAAAAAAAACATTGCACACTGGAACAAATTTACAGCGTCGGATGTCATTAAGACCACTGTCAGGTTGCACAGGACGCCATGGATTTCCGATCTAAAGGACACGTCAACCACTCGCCGTGGAGATTGTCGCATGCTCTGCACCTACAACGCCAGAACAGTCTCCACCAACGCCCTTCGAAGCTGCAGGGCGCATCAACTACGGTGAAAGCCTTGCAGGAAACAAAGTCCAGGAAGAAGGACTTGAGGCAGCCGAGTGACACACTCATTCGTAGTGAGAAAGTTTTACCACGGATTGTTGGAGGCGTTGCATTGGTTGTACACCCATCTTTTGTCCATCTTGTCGATCCGCATGAGATCCTATTAGCTCGCCTGGCTATCCTTCGACTCCGCTCTCTGCATCAGAAAGTCTTTACTCTCATGAACTGCTATTCTCCAACATTAGCACTAACTAATATCTCGAAACTTAGAAAACGAGGAAATTATCCGCAAAGAATACTCCTTCTATAAGTTCGTCGGGGGTGACTGCAGTGCGAAAATCGGAATGGCAGAATAAGGGGAACACAGGATCGGAAGATTTGGATCAGGACTCCGGAATGAGAGTGGTAAACGTCTTGCTGGGCTCTTATCCGCCATACGA